CTAAACCGTAATGAATTTGGAAATTTTGGAGAACTTTAAACTTCGTATTGTTACAAAGAATAAGTATATACATACATATGTATGTTTTAAGTAACTAATAACACTAGATAACAACGATTTTGTTTAGGATATAAAACCTATATGGTTTTCTTTGTTTAGGACGTCTAAGACCAGAAAAAGTATGTATTAAAAAAATCTAGAACGTCAAATCTTTTAATTATTTATTAAAAAATGCTAAAAAAAGGGTTAAATTCGAAAGGAAAAATTTTATATTTATAGTTTTAGTTATTTTTTATATAAACAATTTTATGGGTCTTATTCACAACACTTTAGCAAAGGTATTCTTATTGCAAAAATATTGAAAATTCAGTTGAAATAATCTTAAATCTCGGTGAATAGATGTCAGGTTTATTACTCATACTTCCAAGAGCTTTTAGGAAACAATATAAATGTTAATATGACAAATGAATTATGAGGGTTATATTCATATACGCAAGTTTGTAATTTCTCCTCTATATAAATCCTCTTTCAGAAAATAAATTTATTCTCAATAAATTATTAAAACATTTTAGTATTATGATACATTCGAAAAAATTATTTGTTTTAAAACATCCTTCTTAGAGCTCGGTCCGTGATCCAAACCATTAAGATCGTATTCCGAAAATAAAACTCTAACTTAGAGAACTGAAAAAATTTAGTTTTGAGATGTTTTGTGAAATTTTAAGAAATTCTCACAAAATTTTTTTTGCATATGTTTATTGTAATTTATAATTTACACTGTAAATTAAATTAAGAAGTGAATTATTTTAAATATTATTGTGTAATAATTGTAAAAAATGTTTGAAAAAATAAGCTAAAAGAGCGTTGTTTTGTTAAAAATTTGGTGTCACTACAATGAAGTGACTACATCCTAAAAAGGCTAACATCTTCCAAAAAGATTTAAAAAAAAAATCATTAAAATTTAAAATATACAATAAAATAAAAATGTATGAGCATGTAAAAACAGGTAAAAGTTCGGGAATGCCGAATCTTACATACGCACCAACACAACACGTTTTACCAAAATTTGCTCATTTATTATATTTATGCTTAAATTTTATTATCGTGTATCGGTTTTATTTTCGGAATACGATCTTAATTCATTTGTTACATCAACATTTATATTGTTTCCTAAAAGCTCTTTAAGTATGAGTAATAAACCTGACATCTATTCACCAAGATTTAAGATTATTTCAACTGAATTTTCAATATTTTTGCGATAAGAATACATCTGCTAAAGTGTTGTGAATAAGACCCATAAAATTGTTTATATAAAAAATAACTAAAACTATAAATATAAAATTTTTTCTTCCGAACCCTTTTTCAGCATTTTTTCTTAATAATTAAAAGATTTGACATCCTAGATTATTTAAATACTTTTTCTGGTCTTAGACGTCCTAAACAAAGAAAACCATACAGGTTTTATATCCTAAACAAAATCGTTGTTACCTAGTGTTATTAGTTATTTTATATACATACATACATACATACATACATACATACATACATACATACATACATACATACATACATACATACATACATACATACATACATACATACATACATACATACATACATACATATACTTATTCTTAGGGGCATTAACAAATTTTCGAACAGGTTTTGTACCTTACCCTTTCCGAATTTGATAAAACTTGGTACACACATTCTTTGTATCAATACGAAGTTTAAAGTTCATCAAAATTTCCAAATTCATCACTAATTTAATACCACAGTTATTGTAATTTTCATTGTTTTATGTCATACTCAACTTATAATTACAATATTCTTGTTTTAAATTTTTTTGTCTTAATTATTGTCGGGAAAAGTACTAAAATAAAGTAGACTGTGTGAATTGAAACAATAACAACATAATAAGAAATAGAACTGTGAAAATAAAATAAAATAAGATCAATATCCCTCTCTGAGTAACATAACAAACTTCTTTATATATTACAAAAACAAAATAAAAATCAGCTGATATATTATAAATAAACCACGACGTAACAGTGCTGCCAGTCGATATAAATATATTCCATTCCCAATTACACAATATTAAATCCCGCGATAGTTAAATTAATAAATTAAAAAATAAATAAATTTAAAATGATTTGTTCCCATTCATTCTGTTCTAATTCCGATAATAATGATAATATGATAGCTTGTTGGATATACAATCGTATATATCATTCTAAATGCTTGTTAATTCCTGTACATGTTGCTGATGATATTAATGGAAATTATGGATTACGTTGGTGGTGTAGTAACTGTAGAAAGATAGATACGGACTTTTTTCAGTTTGTGAAATCTAATCGTGATAAATTTAATGACATTAAAAATGAATTTATGGTTCTTTCAACAATGATTCAAAATTATGAGCAAATGTTTGAAAGCTTTATTCATTGGATAAACTTTGTAAGTCTGGTATTTCATCTCCAAAACGTAAGAGGACTTCAAAACGACTCGCCTCAAAACCATCTGATTCTCCTGCAGCTTTTAACGATGATGTTACCAATACTATTACATTGCCGTCTACTAGCATGAAAAATGCTATTTTTGTTGATCGTTTAGCATCTGAAACATCTGTCGATGAGGTTTCTAATTATATAATTTCTAAACTAGGCTGTGAATGTCAATTATAAAGAAAGAATTTTGGCCATCTAACTCCATAGTGCGTGAATATATCTACAAAGAAAATCCAAAGAATGATATAGCGTATCTTCCTAATACTTCAATTTCTGCATCAAAAAACTAATTAACGCTCCTGTTAACATCATCACAATTATTTACCAAAATGTTAGAGGTCTAAATACAAAATTATCATCTCTTTATGCAGATAGTTTTTGCTTCAACCAACATATTATCGCTTTCACTGAAAGCTGGCTCCATAATAATATTTTTAACTCCGAAATTCTATGTACAAACTATCAGATTTTCAGACGTGATAGAAACAAAGGTCATAGCAAGAGTGGTGGTGTCCTGATTGCTGTAGTTTATAACTTTTCTGCTGACGAAGTAGTTTAAAAAAAACCCGTCAATGTAGAAATTCTATGTGTGCAAGTGAACATGATAAACAAAATATTATATTATTTGCTCTTACATTCCCCCTAAATCTCCTATCGAAGTTTATGAGGAGCATGGGAAAGTTGTTGATGAAATTTTAACCAAAATGCAATCTTCTGATTCTTTAATTCTGATTGGTGATTTCAATATTCCGTCAATATCCTGGACATATGATAGTGACAATAACTGCCTGTTGCCATTATTTTCAAATGAAATAATGGCTGATTTTATCAATGGATTATCCAGTAACTGCCTTTTCCAAATAAACAATGTTGAAAATTATTATGAAAAATTACTTGACTTAGTCTTTGTCTGTGAACCAGCTGATTATTGTGTTTCAAGAACATCCCCAATTTCTAATCCTGAAGATCGATATCATCCAACACTTAAAATCGAATATAATTGCCCATACTCAATTGGTAATAAAATTCGAACCGTTGATAAAATCTTTTGTTTCAAACAAACAAATTACAAAAAACTCATTGATGCTTTATCTGGAGTCAAATGGATTGATATTTTTGCCCTACACAATAATAATTTGGATGATATGATAAAATCTTTTTACAAGATCTTACTCAAATGTTTTTCACAATCTATTCCAATAAAAACTCCTAAAAATATTAATGGTCCTCCGTGGAATACCAAACGTCTTTCATTCCTTAAAAATAGAAGAAACAAAATGTATAAGAAATACAAATCTCATGGTTCATGAATTAACTACATTAACTATTCTATTGCAAGATCAGAATTTAATAAGAATAATCGCTTAGCCTACAATAATTATTTATGCAAAATGAAGTATAATTTAAATTTATGCAAAATGAAGTATAATTTAAGGGATAATCCTAAATCTTTCTACGCATTTGTTAATTCGAAAAGGAGATCTCTCGATTTTCCAACTACAATGAAATTTAATGATGTTATAACTACTGATGTTGCTGCGATAAGTAATATGTTTGCTGATTTTTTCTCCACAACTTACTCATCGACTGAATTTAACAACAATATCCAATACCCATATAGTCTCCCCGAAACAACAGTTAATTTTTCTTCTATTGCTGAAGATACTGTTCTGAAAAGTCTTTTAAATATTAAATTGTCATATGCTACAGGACCAGATGGAGTTCCAAGCTGTATTTTAAAACGATGTTCTCATGTACTATATATTTGACATATCTCTTCAATAAGTCTATAGAATTGACTTATTTTCTTGAATTCTGGAAAGATTCATTCATCATACCTTTATTCAAGTCTGGTACCAGGTCTCAAGTTTCTAATTATAGAGGCATTTCAAAGTTAAGCTCTATTCCGAAATTATTTGAAAAAATTATTACAGATGTATTATCCCATCAAGTATCATCTATAATTACTGGTCATCAACACGATTTTCGTAAATCGCGTTCTACGATCACAAATCTACTTGATCTGACAACTTTTGTCAATGAAGGTTTTGTCAATGGTAAACAAACTGATGCAATATATACCGATTTTAGTAAAGCGTTTGATAGAGTTAATCACAAATTGCTTATTTTTAAACTACATCGAATGGGATTCTGTAACTCACTACTAAAATGGACTGAATCTTACTTAACTGGCCGTAAACAATGTGTAAAATTTCATGATACTCTTTCTACTGCTATTAATGTTCCCTATGGTGTACCTCAAGGCAGCCATTTAGGCCCTCTCTTATTCGCGCTTTTCATTAATGATCTTCCCTTATCGCTCCAATATACAAAATGCTTAATGTATGCTGATAATGTTAAATTGCTACTTTCATTTAGTGACCAACACGACCAATCTCTCCTTCAAATCGACATTAACTTCTTCACTGTTTGTTGCAAAAACAACTTAATGGACCTTAATAATAAAAAATGCAAATATATGGTTTTTTCTAGATCGCTTCCTAAAAATGGTTACTATTTGATGAATGATATGCGACTGGATATGGTTCATACATTTAACGATCTTGGTATTTTATTGGACAGACGATTAGACTTTCGTGATCATATATCGAGGACAATAAATAAAGCAACTGGTGTACTGGGCTTTATAAAACGCTGGGCAAAGGAGTTTTCTGATCCATATACAACAAAACAATTATACACAACTCTTGTTAGACCAATTCTCGAATATGGTTCTGTTATATGGGATCCGACATACAATGTACAGTCCAATTCGATCGAATCTGTCCAAAAGCAGTTTCTTCTATTTTGCCTCCGTGGACTTGGATGGAATATTAATGTCAGATAACCTCCATATAAAAGTCGTCTTGCCTTAATTAAGCTTCCTACACTCCACAGTCGAAGAAAAATGCTCAACATAACCTTTTTAATCAATCTCATCAATGGAAAACTACATTCTGAGCTTCTTATTAGTAAAATCAATATAAACATACCTCAGCGTCCATCGAGATATTACCAGTTTTTGATTGTAAAATATTTTCGTTCTAATTATGCGAATTCAGTTCCATTCCGCCGTATTTGTATTGAATTTAATAACCTATATCATATTATAGATTTTAATAAAAGCGTGGATATTATTAGTAGAGATATAATATTTTACTATAACAATTAATTCTACTACTACAAATTCTTTTCTTTATACAATTCCATTCTGATTCCTGTATAACAAATTTATATAACAATTTTATTATTATATGTATGTATCTATATCTAAATAGTCTGTAAGGATTGTATTTCCATAGACTTCAAATAAATAAAATAAAATTACGGTTTAGATTTTATTAAGGTTCAAAGTTCAAATTTTTTAAGATTTCAACAAGTATTAAATTTGACATCGTATATTTTCTAAAATATTTATCGTTTTAGTTCCTAATTATGTCTTGCAGTTTGAAAATATTTTATTTAAAATATTTCTGTTTTAGGGTTTGAATCATGACATCAAACAACATCTTAGTCAAGGATATCTCAAAAAAGGCACCTTATGTTTTCTTTATTCCTTCACATAAGATTGCTTATAGTGTTTTCAATAAAATATAAAAATTTCAGAATAGGACAATGAGGGGATCTCAAGTAAATCAACTTTTAGTAAAATAATCCACATCATTTCCATATAAATTTCAAAAATTTTATTTTTTTGTTCATGAACAATTTAATTTTTGTTTCAAAATTTTAAATTTATTTTTGTGTTCATCAACAAATAAAACTTTAAATTTTTAAATATCTTGAATATTATCAAACTACAAGACATAGGCTTTAATTGGGAACTAAAACGATTAAACGATCGGATAAACAGTTTAGTAAATATACGATGTTACATTTAATGCTTGTTGAAAAAAATCAAAAAAAAAAAAAAAATATGAACTTTAAACATGTTCAAAATCCTACTTTTTTGTTCGAAATTTTTTGAAATTACCACTTATTGATTTTGTAAAGGGATGTCGCTACTTTATTAATATACTTTGGGTTTCATTATTAAACAATTTGTTTATATACTACATATAAATTGCGTTGCACAGTGGGGCAGAATCGAAATTTTTTGGAAATAAATCTGGCATTTCTAAACGGCTGATCCGATCGGTATAAAATTTGACGTGAGCGTAGCCAAGGAGTATTCGAGTTTAAGTTTTGAAGATGAACCCTGCAGATGCCCCAGGGACGGCGCTGTGGCGGCTCAAAGTAGGGTACCTACGACATGTAAAATTTTTAAACTCGTGCCATTTTTTTGTTTTTCACCCAAATACAAAGATTTTTATATTTTCTGAAAGCGCTCGACGAGATCTTGGACATACTACTTATCACTTATAATATCCGAGTTATAGGCATTTAAAAATTTAGTGATACAAAATTTACCATACCTTGGTCCGCCTTTTTTTGAATACCGGGCGTAATTTTGGACCAAATGGACTGTTGGAATGTTAGTAAGACAACAAAATTTCCAATAATATACAAAAAATTTCAGATAAATATCATTTACAGATCCAAAAATATACGTTTTTTAATTTAAAAATTCAAAAATTTTTAGATTTTTGCCGTTTTTTTGCCAAAAATGTGTCTTAAGTCTTTTATTAATAAAATAAAATTTTCTTTAAGAACATATAACAATTTTATAGTTTTCTAAAAGGTATCTTTACGCAGAACGCTTTGGCGTAAAAAACTTGTCCTATTTTTTGAAAATGTTGCCACTGCGTCCTTCCGAATATGACCTATTTTTTATAAAAACTTCAACTTTGGGCGACATGTTCTAAAATCCCAAAGCTGGGATCAGAAAACTGAAAGCAGTTTTGGAAACCTCAATATGTTTTCTATTTACTCCAAAAGTATTTTCCCAGCCCTGAAAGAAATGTGGACCCTATGGGCAAAAAAGTAAAAAATCCCATTTTGGGATTTTCATTCCTATTTTTGGGAATTGCGGGATGCCCTTTGACCTTTTCAATTTTTTTTTTGCATTTTCTTATTTGAAATGACAAATTTAACAAGCGTTGAAAATTTCATTGAGTTTTGTTCATAAATAAAGATTTTGTCATATATTACATATTTGTTTAATTTCTAAAACTATGATTTATATCAAAATTTTAATAGGGTCGCAGATAGCTACAACAATTTAGTCCATATTTATCCCTTAATATAATTTTTAGTTAGATATAGAAATTCTCGACCCTTTACAAAAAATTGTAAGCCAATATCTCAATTACATTCAAAAATATGTTCATTTAAACCTGTATCCTTTACTTTCATATTTTTTATATTTTAGTATTAAATATGACAGAACATATTTAAATCTTATATTTACCTATTTTCTATTTGTTTGCTTATCCTTATAATTGAAAGGTCCTATTATGGTTAAATTTTCAGAAATTTATAACTATTTTTTACCTAAATTTTTTCGACAGATCATTTCGTTCTGTTTCGTTTATGATCATGTAGGTAAAAATATACAGGTAATGATAATTTCGATTCATTCACTAATAAGAAATATCAATGACTGAATTACAGGTTATAGTAATATAGTCCTAAATGTTAATAGGTAGACAATTCGTAATTTTTTACTTTTTACCTGTATCGGAAATGACAAGAATTGGTGTATAAGTAAACTTCTCAGATTTTAAGTACCATATTTAATAAATCTACAATGAAGATTACATTAAAGTACGAAGAGTTGTGTTCCGTTTTATGGAGTGTATCTTCAAAAGGGCCAGAAAGAATTGAAGACATTTCAAATTACATAAAAACTACATATAGTAGAAAAGTAGACAAAACTAGCATATCAAAAATTGAAAACTTTTTAAAACTTGTTGATGTAAAAAGTAAGTCTGTGGATGGAAATCAAAAGAAATTTCGATTAAAATTTTGTAGTTGGATGGAAACTACTACGGAAATCTCAACTTACAACACATCGACAGGAGCGCCTTGCAAGTCATACGAAGACTTATGTTCAAGGTAAAAAAAGAGGGTCACACAAAAACTTTTTTCAATCTCAAATGAGGAAATTGCTGATACATTTAACGAAATGCTGAAAAAGGAAAACCAACCTATGGATGCCGTACATATTGCAACTATTCTTCCTAATGCATCACCAAAACGACTTAAGCGAATTGTGGAAAGTATACCAACACCAACATCACAATCAAATTTTACTGAAGAGGAAGCAATAGCGCTTATGTTGGAACTGGGTCTCAGTCGAAATAAGTACCAAATATTAAGGAAAGCTCTGCATGAAAAAGGACACAATATATTACCATCATACAAGGCGATCCAGGAAAAAAAAAACAAACTATCCTACCATCACCTATTACTGTTAATGATGTGAAAGCTTGTATTGATATATGATCTTTGAAAACACAGCATCAAGAATTGTGTCAGACTTTTCAGAAGACCAACTAAGGAAAATTCATAACTGTGATGTTGTCTTAATGTGTAAGTGGGGATGTGACGGTTTATCAGCACTTCCAGAATACAAACAAGCTTGTGGAAGTCGGACATTAGCACATTACAAAAGTGTATTTATGTCATCATTAGTGCCATTACGAATTCGTTCATATTCCCTTAATCCATCATCGTCAAGCATCGGAAATTCATTTGAAGATATATGGATCAATACAACTCCGGGTTCAAAAATTTTTTGTAGACCCATTGGATTTGAATATATAAAGGAGTCAAAGAAAACAACAAAAGATTTAGTGGAATATTTAAAAGATGAAATAAATGCACTGGAGCCCATTTGCATAAAAATAAAGGAATTCTCTATTAACGTATCATATCAGCTAAGCTTAACAATGATTGATGGAAAGGTCAGCAATGCCATAACAGAAACTTCATCCTTCTGGAGATGCTCAATATGTAATGAGAAAAAGTCGCAATTCTCAAATATAAACAAAAGCAGAAGTATTAATGAAGAAGTCCTGTCTTTCGGAATTTCACCACTTCATGCCAGAATACGATTTTTGGATTACTTTTTACACATAGCATACGACCTCAAATATAGAAGTGTGCCAGAGAATCTTACTAAATCAACAAAAAATAATGAAGAATTGAAAGAACTGAGAGCTGCGGAAAAAAGCAGAATCCAAGAAGAATTTAAAGTTCAGATGGGATTAAACATCGACAAACCACTTCCAAGTTGCGGTAGTACAAATGACGGTAATACGGCGAGAAGGTTTTTTCGTGATTTTGGTTTGTGTGGGGTGATTTAGGTGTTGTTGTGCGTGGCTCATAATAAAATTATAATTTTTTTATTGTATATACAATGTTATAGTCTTTAATAAAATAATTAACTAAATAATTCTTAAAAATTGTCCAAATATTTTATTCAACACCAAATGTATGTTCTGTCATACTTAATACTAAAATATGAAAAAGATGAAATTAAAGGACACAGGTTTAAATGAACATATTTTTGAATGTAATTGAGATATTGGCTTACAATTTTTTGTAAAGGGTCGAGAATTTCTATATCTAACTAAAAATGATATTAAGGGATAAATATGGACTAAATTGTTGTAGCTATCTGCGACCCTATTAAAATTTTGATATAAATCATAGTTTTAGAAATTAAACAAATATGTAATATATGACAAAATCTTTATTTATGAACAAAACTCAATGAAATTTTCAACGCTTGTTAAATTTGTCATTTCAAATAAGAAAATGCAAAAAAAAAAATTGAAAAGGTCAAAGGGCATCCCGCAATTCCCAAAAATAGGAATGAAAATCCCAAAAATGGGATTTTTTACTTTTTTGCCCATAGGGTCCACATTTCTTTCAGGGCTGGGAAAATACTTTTGGAGTAAATAGAAAACATATTGAGGTTTCCAAAACTGCTTTCAGTTTTCTGATCCCAGCTTTGGGATTTTAGAACATGTCGCCCAAAGTTGAAGTTTTTATAAAAAATAGGTCATATTCGGAAGGACGCAGTGGCAACATTTTCAAAAAATAGGACAAGTTTTTTACGCCAAAGCTGAGCCGAATATTAAATACCCTCCACCAACTACTTTTATATTAATACTTTTCTAATTGATCAAATATTTGTAGAAATAAGTTTTCTCATGTCATAAATAGAAAAAATCCCAAGATTTATTTAATATTGTAATAAGTTATGAGTATTTATGTGATTTTCTGAAGGG